TAGTAATGGTAGATTTGGCCCATCATAATGATAGAGTTGTGGTGTTTTCTTGTTTAGGATAAACACATTAAGGTTAGAGAGACAGTGTTGCATAGAAGTTGCAGTGCTGGATTAAAACTAGAGAGACTGAGCATCAAATCTCTGCAAAATCATAAAGCTCACTGGTTACTATGACCCAGTCCCTATCTCTTAGCCTGACCTACTTCGTTGGTTTATTGTGAAGATAAAAAAGGGAGGAGAACCTTATAATCCACCCTAAACCCTTGGGAGGAAAGATGAGTTAAAAATGAAATCAATGATGTTAAAAATAAGCCTTCTGTGCTTCCAAGAAGCTCTGCCAGTACTGCTACACATAATGCTCTGCTTTATCATAATTGTTTAGTACTTCCCTGTTCTCTTGGTTCCTCTAACATACATTAAAGGCCTCCTTCTTCAAGAGGCAGACACTTCATGTGGTTCAGAAAAGCAAGATGCCATGAGTACTTGTCAGGAAATACAGGCATCCTTTTACTAGGATCATTTGTTCCTTGACAGATTAAAAAATGCCTCCCTAAAATCCTTTGAGAGTGCTAAAGAATCTCTGCCTTACAACTTCCTAAGTGTGTGTGCACAGTAGTCATGTAGTGGTAGGGTCCTGACAATAACCTGTAAATTACTCCTCAGACATCTTTTAAATGGCAGCTACATAACGTGTTGTTGTTGTTGTTGCTGTTGTTGTTGTTGTTGTGTGTCTTCAAATTGTTTCTGATTTATGGCACCCCTAAGCCAAATCTATCATGGAGTCTTCTTGGCAAGTGTCTTCGATGAGGGCTTGTCATCCTCTGAGGCTGAAAGAGTGTGCCTTCCCCAGGGTCACCCAGTGGGTTTCCATGGCTGAACTGGGATTTGAACCCTGGTCTCCAGCGTCATAGTCCAACACTCAAACCACTACACAATGCTGGTTCTCTGCTAAATAACTTACAGCAATATTATATGTGAAAATAATGTGTCTGCTGAAGTCTGAACCTTAAAAATGCCTTGCTGATGTTAGTATCCT